CCCTTTAATTAATTCACCACCCCTTTAATTAATTCACCCCCTCTAATTAATCCAGCCCACCCTTTAATTAATTCACCACCCCTTTAATTAATTCACCCCCTCTAATTAATCCCAGCCCACCCTTTAATTAATTCACTCCCTCTAATTAATCCAGCCCACCCTTTAATTAATTCACCCCCCCACCCCCTTTAATTAATTCAATTAATCCCAGACATAAAATATCTAGCGGTACTCACATTTCAAAGATTCCTTGCCGAGTCCGACCACTGGGAGCCTCACCGCCCGGAAATGGATCCTTCCGCTGAAGATCCGTGAAGGCAGACTGACGGCGCTGCAAAATGTCGTCATCACGTTGCGCGACGCTCCTCCTACAGCAGAAGAAGGAAGTCTCGCCGCAAAGGTACAATGCCTAGGTCTTATTTTCGGGGTAGGGCTTATATTGCAGCCCACCCCGAAAATCCGACTAGGGCTTATTTTCGGGGTAGGGTTTATTTTCGGGGAAACACGGTATTATGTCATATGAATTTATATTTAAAACTGCACCAATATATAATTTTTTATTGTATCTTTAAACAATTATAATAGTAAACATTGTTTTCCTAAAACAGAACATTGAAAAGTTACGGTTTATGTTGTTTAAAGGGACACTATAGTCACCAGAACAACTACAGCTTAATGTAGTTGTTCTAGTGAATATAATGGCTCCCTTCAGGCATTTTCATGTAAAGTGTTTACATTGCCCCCCTAGGTACACCTCCAAGTGGCCACTCCTTAGATGGTGCTTCCTGACTCAGGGCTGCACTGTAAGCAGCCTTGACGTTCAGCGTCCCTAAGCTCTGCATGGAGAACCTGAATTTTCCTCATAGAGATGCATTGATTGGCTAAAACTTTATTTGGCCCCGCGCTGATTTTAGCCAATCCAGTGCTTTCCCTGCGGGAAAGCATTGTATTGGTAAAAAATCGGCCATTTCGATTACCGTATATACTCGTGTATAAGTAGAGTGCAGTTTTGTGACCAACAATTGTGAAATATGCTATGCCTCATGGATAAGTCGGGGGTAAAACTTAGGGCTATGAAATTCTGTGATTTTTATAATTATATACACACACACTCATACAAACACACACTCTGCATTATATACACACACACTCTGTGTGTATATAATGCAGAGTGTGTGAATGCAAAGTGTGTGTTTTTGTGTAGTGTATGTGAACTGGGTTGGGGGAGGGCATTTTTATTTTAATTTTTTTTAATTTACATTTTTTATTATTATTTTATTTTATATTTTTTTTAGTCCCCCCTCCCTGTTTGTTAACTGATCAGGGAGGGGGGCTATCTTAATCTCTGGTGGTACAGTGGCATGGGCTGTGCAGGGGGGGGAGCCGGCAGCAAGCTGTTACTTACCTTTGTAGCAGCTCCGGTCAGCTCCCTTCACCTCCGTGCAGCTCCCAGTGTAAATCTTGCAGTCTGCTTGTCGCGCGGAGCGTTGCCACGGTAGCCCATGGCACCGCTCTGACGGCCGCGGGTCTTGCGAGACTTACACTGGGAGCTGACAGGGGAGATGCACGTAGGTGAGCACAAAAAAATGTGCTGAAAAACTCTTATACTCTAGTATATACGGTATGTCACAAAGGGGTAGAGCCGGTGCTGGGAATAAGGTGAGTTTTAAACTTTTAGAGGGGGACTAAGGGGCGCAAGCCACCTAAATGGTGGGTTAAACACTATAGGGTCAGGAATACATGTTTGTGTTCCTGACCCTATCGTGATCCTTTAATGAAGCATGCCCCTGCAGTTTCACTTCTCAATTCGTTTTACATGTAGGATTTAAATCACTTTGTTTATATAGACCTAGTCACAACTTTCTGCATGTGACTTGCACAGCCTTCCAAAACACTTTCTAAAAAGGAACCTAGATAATTTATGTTCCTTTATTGCAAAGTCTGTCTAATCTACATTTTTTTTTTAATCTCCTGCAATAGATTTGTGACTCCATGTATATTATAAATCATTTTTTTATGAACGGAAAGATGTATACTTAACACAACGTTACTTGTGAATAGTTAAAATGGGAAACACATTTTTGCTGGTAATCATTTTTTACACCTCTAGTGCAGTTAAAATGAAATCAAAATAGATTTGTATATCAATCCTGATTATTAAATGCCTTAAATGATTCAGATCTAAATCATTTTGGTAGTTAACGCTAACCTTATACCAACACTCAAACTAACCTCATTCTCCATGCTTACACTAACTCTATCCCTACACTAATCTTACCCTTAAAGGGACACTGTAGTTATCAGAACAACTACAGCTTATTGAATTTGTTCTGGGGAGTAGAATCATTACCTTCAGGTTTTTTGCTGTAAACACTGTCTTTTCTGAGAAAATGCAGTGTTTACATTACAGCCTAGTGATAACTTCACAGGCCACTCCTCAGATGGCTGTTAGAGATCCTTCCTAGGTCATGGCTGCCTAAAATGCATCCAAATATTCAGTATCTCCTCCCTCTGCATGCAGACACTGAACTTTCCTCATAGAGATTCATTGATTCAATTCATCTCTATGAGGAGATGCTGATTGGCCAGTGCTGTGTTTGATCATGATGGCTCTGCCCCTGATCTGCCTCCTTGTCAGTCTCAGTCAATCTTATGGGGAAGCACTGTAATTGGATCAGGCTACCACTTCTGATGTCACCAGACTGCTTGTTTTTCTGAGTCTAGTAGCATGCAGAGTGTCAATTATACAGAGATCTGTGCTGGGCAGCTTGTAAAGCCAAGCACTAGTCACAATCAGCTGTTGACAGGCTGGGAAACCATTCCAGGGTGTATTCCGACCCTGCCTGCAGCCAAGAAAAACCACAACTGAGTGATCGTTTAAAGGGCTTTGTGCAGCACTGACTTCCAGCATTGCATAGAGCTGATTAGTCATCTGGGGTCACAACCATGGCCCCAGCTTACTAATAGGAACCCCAGGTATAAATTTGATTATTAGTGGTGTGAGCAGGGATTTAACCCTGCAGTCTTTACGTAGGCATGTAAATTATTATTTAAAGAGCCGCTTGCAGCTTTGGCTTTCAGTGCTGCAAGCAGCTCATAAAGTCTGGGGTCACTAAAAATTCAGAGGAGCCCCAGGTCTCCATTGATACTTGAGGTTAATGGTATGTAACCCATTTCACACCGTGATCTTTTAAAAGGAATTTAAATACATCAAGAGCTATTGTCTAAAAATGGCCCCAGCAGACAAAGTGGAGATACCTGGGGCTCCCTTGTGTGAGCAGGGATGTAACTCTGCTCAAACCAAACCTGCACGGCGTTCTACGCCATCCTACAGGCTTTTAATCCTACTTTGTGTAGGTCATAGAGCGCACTAACGTCCTTACAGGCTTAAGATAACGTTGTTTTGATGCCTGTAGTATCCCTTTAACCCCTTAAGGACACAACTTCTGGAATAAAAGGGAATCATGATGGAATATTTCCATCATGTGTCCTTAAGGGATTAATTCAGGTATTACTCGTTGTATTAAACCTTAATACAAGTTATGCATTTTTACAAATGTGATTCAAAGTGTGTTACTAAGATGATGAAATACCAGCTTAGAGCAGTGTGCTGAATAATTGGACTCCTGCTGTAAATGTTAATTGGATTGGTGATTAAAGTGTTTACATGTTGCACCTTGCTTTGAGCAGCATCTATCAGTAATGGTTTATTTTACATGGTAAATTCAATTAAGTGCTTATCTCAATTATATTAGTAATTCTAATGCACACATTGTGCTTCAGATTATTCACTGGTTCTTGTTTTATATGGTTAGAATCTGTATTCCTTTCATGCAATTAATTCTTAATTTTAGAACAGTTGATTGATATAAGTGTTTTTCAAGCCAATGGCTAAGCTAGGTCCAAACCATTGTGACTAGAGAAGTATAGTTTAAAAAAAAAAAATATTAAAGGGTGGACATGTCACTGTCATTTAAGGCCAGCAGTTGGGGGCCTTAAATATAATAGTAAAGGCTCCTTCTCTGGTGGCAGGTTTGTCCCTAATTATAATATTAAAGAGGGGGAACCTAATGTCCACCTTCAGCTCCATCCATGGGCAGCAAGTGTAGTGTCCAATAAGACTACTACCTGTTATAATACACACACACCTTCAGAAGTCTTATTTCTTCTTTTCTTCTGCCCCAAAAAAGGAACAACTAAAATTTATTAAATCACGACAGAACAAATCAAAGTCTTTATTTTTTCCATACATTTTGTTTTGTTTGTTTTGTTTTTTTAAAACCCTGATTTGCACAAAAAAGGACTTGAAAATTCAAAAACACAACTCGATAAAATGAAACCTTCTCTTGAGACTTGGCCGACAAGCTTCTACTGCTCAGTGGGAACTGGGCTGGCCAGGTGCAGGTCAAGGGCCGCAAACTGTGATAACTGTTTCCAAGTGCTGGAAGGAAGTGATCTGAGAGAGATTCCCCTTCACCACCTGCAATCACTGCTCGGTTTGCACTAGCAGATATCTGAAGTCTCACTGGGACTCCTAACATGCCAGGGTTTGGCTCTGGCAGCATAAATGCACCTTGAGTGCCATTAGTTGCTGGCCCCTGCCCTGGAGGCAGTTCTAACCTTGCAATGTAAATATTGCAGTTTCTCCTAAAACTGCAGTGTTTTCAGATGCAGGGTTAAGGGGAAAGGCACATTGCACCAGATCACTTCAATGAGATTCATTTTTCTGGGTGCCTAGTGTCCCTCAGTGATTGTGAATCATTAGACTCAAATTACCCAGTTGATAAATGAATGCTTTACCATTACTGCAAACAATCCTCAAATATAGCCAAAACCTCTTTTTCTAATGAGCCATTGGTTTCTGCTTCACTGATTTTGTTTTAATAACTAGTTAGTGCTATAAGAGTACTTGGCAATTGTTCCAGTCGCGTCTAAAATAATGTTATTTCTCTACGATAGCAACTAACAGCTCGTAAAATTATTGCAAAAAAACTAGATAAATGGCTAATAATTGCAAAGACTGAAGCTGTAAATGTGATTGGATGTGTTGAAGCGATATTCATCAATGGTGACCTGATTGAATTAAGATGTGTATTAATCAGTCATGTTTGTATCTAATTATATTATTTGTTTGATTTATAATCAAATTATAGCTATATTAAACATTGCATTGCTATGAAACAATCCCTTATAGGCATACAACTGTGCTCGGTGCACAAGCTATGGTACAAGGAAGATCCCTGTAAGCAATTGTGCACAGAGATTTGAAGGAAAAAAATCGCTGCCCTTTCAATGTTTCTTTCACTTTTATTTCCATCTTTGCTGTCCACCTTTATCCAACTTTTGCTTGTAATGTGTGCACATCCCTATCTTCCCTCGCTGGTTCTCCATGAAAGCAGCTATGAGCATACACTTTTGGAAGCTTTGGAGAATGCTGCACACTACCTTAATTACAATACTGCGAGCAGGACTGTCCGCTTATTCAACAGTTACACTAATCAGATGTAGCTAAACCCCATATCCTTTATAAACCTCTGCCAGATATGGGTTTATGGAATAAAATCAGATGACCTAGACCAGGGGTAAGAAACCTTTTTAGTAGTACTGTGCCAAAACAAGATCCCCTTGGCGTGCCCGTCCTATTTCTTTTCTTTTTTTTTTATTTTTTTTTTTTATGAGGTGTGTATATTGCTGTATTGTACTTGTGTTATTTATGGGTGCTGCAGTTGCTTTGTGACGCTCTATTGGTGCATATGTGAACTGTTATATTGTATATGTTCATAAATAGAATGTTGTATGGTACCCATGAATATGGGCTGTGCATGAGGGCTGCTTGTGGAATTGTGCCTGTGTATATGTGTGGGGCTGCTTATGGTATTACATGTGAGAGGCTGCTTGTAGGATTGTGTGTGTGCATGTGGATTGTAAGTAGTGTTGTGGGGACTGTTTGTATTATTTGTATGAGGGTGATGCATCTTCTGCTGCTCTATGTATATTGAATAGTGTGGGTGGCTTCCCTGGGGTCTAGTGGGGACCAGGTTGGCCAGGTACAGGTCAAGGGCTTTTGGTTTTAAAACTGCAATGTGACAGCAGTATTTGACGCTTCTATTTGACTCTCAGATATGAAGTGCACCCCACTAATGGACTAGTTAAGGTTCTGGGAAAAAAAATAGTGACACCTCGATCATCTTATTAAATCATGACGTTTGTTATTGTGATTTAAGGCATTGTCATGATGTAGCTGTCATGTTACATTGTATCCTGTTACCATTGCATATTGGTCTGTGCAGCAACAGCTAAAACTGCTACTTCCTTAAAAGAAGACCCCATTCAATTACCACATATACTAGAGCAGGGGTAGGCAACCTTTTAGTAGCGTGCCCGTCCTATTTTTTTTTTTTTTTTAATTGAGGTGTGTATGCGGCCGTATTCTGCTTGTGTTATTTACACTGTAATTGCTTTGTATTGTTGTATTTGTGCGTATATGAGCTATTATGTTGTATATGTTCATGAGTAGTTTATGGTATTGTGTATGATACATATGAATGTGGGCTGTGTATGGGGGCTGCTTGTGGAATTGTGTGTGTGTGGATGGATATGTCACATTGTGTGTTTGGTAGTGTGTGGGGGCTGTTTGGGGTATTGCATGTGAGAGGCTGCATGTGGGGTTGTGTGCGTGTATGTGGATTGTTAGTGGTGTTGCGTTTCTGCGGATTGTGTGTAGGCTGTCCGTATTATTTGTATGAGGGGAGGGTTATTCTGCATTTCTGTGTATATCTAGCAGTGTGGGTGGCTTCCCTGGGTTCCAGTGGGGACCAGGCCAGCCAGGTACAGGTCAAGGACAGGAGCTGCAACAACTGCGAGCTGCTCTAATACTGTGTGGATTCCCATTCACAAGTGCTGGAATGAAGTGCTCTGAGATCACTTCCTCTACATGCTGCAATGCATAAATTGAACATTGTCCTTCACCACCTCTTCGTATTAGCAGATATCTGATGTTTTACTGGGACTCCTGATAGGCCAGAGCCTGTTTGGTTCTAGCAGCCTTGAGTGCCGTGCAAAGGCACCTCGAGTGCCGTGCATTGCACTAGTGCCGTAGGTTGCCTACCCCTGTACTAGAGTATAAGACGAGTTTTTCGGCACATTTTTTGTGCTGAAAAACCCCCACTCGTCTTATACTCGAGTCAATGTCTGTATTATGGCAACTTACATTGCCATAATACAGACCAGGACCGCCGGGCTTGTAATGATCCTGTTGGGGGCTGGCAGCGAGCTGTAACTTACCTTTCCTGCATCTCCTATAAGCTCCCTTCTCCTGCATGCCGGTCAGCTCACACTGTAAGTCTCGCGAGTGCCGCGCGGCACTCAGACCGCGAGACTTACACTGGAGCTGACCGGAACGCAGGAGAAGGGAGCTGACAGGAACTGCAGGAAAGGTAAGTTACAGCTCGCTGCCAGCCCCCCTCTTACACAGCCCATCCACTGGACCACCAGGGAATGAGAAGCCCCCTCCCTGTCAAGGTATCAAGCAGGGAAGGGGGAACAAAAAATATTAATACAAATTTAAATAATTTAATAAAATAAAAAATTTAATAATATTAAAAAAAATAATATTCAAATAATTTAAAAAAATAAAAATGCCCACCCCCCACCAAGGTTTGCATCACATACACAAACACACTCTGTATCATATATATATACACACACACACTGCATTCATTATATACACAAAATAAATATTCAATTAATGTAATTTTTTGGAGATCTAATTGTATTTAGAAATTTACCATTAGCTGCTGCATTTCCCACCCTAGTCTTATACTAGAGTCAATAAGTTTTCCCATTTTTTGGGGGTAAAATTCGGGGTCTCGACTTATATTCTGGTCGACTTATACTCGAGTATATACGGTATTTATTTATTTACAATTTAGTAGATATACCCCCAAAGAAAGCATGAATGCTTTGTTTTTTCCTGTTTTATTTGGGTGTATGTAAAAAATAATTGGATTGCAAATGTTCAAGACCTTTAGCCTTTGCAAGCACTCCCCTCTTTCAGTCTCTGCTGGGTAATACACCAATCAGAGGCTTCTCTATGCTAGAGCTGAGAGCTCACGTGCACAGTCACGGCTTTCAAATGCTTGTCAATGAGCTGTAGTACACCTTATTGAGAAGGGGTGGGAGACTGATGCATTCTAGTCTAAGATGCCTGTCACTTCTGTTGGCTCTGTGGAGCTAAGAGAAGTGAAAGAGAACCTCTACGGCGGTGTGGCTGCCCCCAATTATACCTGTGCCTATTTTGTATTGAAATCAGCACTTTTTAAACTATCAGAAACATGACACATTCCAGGCATTACTTTAATCTTGCATTTATAAAGAGGTATCTAATGGTTACTGTAAAGGCCAGTAGAAAGGTGCAGACTACTTTAATCCAGCCTGCATTTCCTGGAGTCCATTATCTCAATTATTCATAATAGCACATTAGGAAAAACATGTTTAAATTGCTAATTACAGCTTTTTGATCATTATAATAACAGATATTAGTGTATGTAGAGTAATTTACATTTCACTTATTTCTAACATATAAACTGCTAAAAGAGAATATACTTCACAGGTCAATTGTCTGTTAATATGACCAAAATCCAGTTTTCTTATTTAGTCTCAGAGTTTATTTGTGTTCCCAGAATTGTATGTCAGCAGGCAAAACGTTAAGACTCAACCGAAATCTTAACTTAAAATAAGGAGCTATGGTGATTTAGGACTCTTATAAGCAAAGTGGGGTTATCGAACATCTTAATCTTTTTATGGGGTATTTGCATTTTTCTTTATTTTTGTGGTGTTTTCACTTAAAGGAACACTATAGTCACCTAAATTACTTTAGCTAAATAAAGCAGTTTTAGTGTATAGATCATTCCCATGCAATTTCACTGCTCAATCCACTGTCATTTAGGAGTTAAATCACTTTGTTTCTGTTTATGCAGCCCTAGCCACACCTCCCCTGGCTATGATTGACAGAACCTGCATGAAAAATAAATTGGTTTCACTTTCAAACAGATGTAATTTACCTTAAATAATTGTATCTCAATCTCTAAATTGAACTTTAATCACATACAGGAGGCTCTTGCAGGGTCTAGCAAGCTACTAATCTAGCAGGGGATAAGAAAATCTTAAATAAACAGAAATTTGCAATAAAGAAAGCCTAAATAGGGCTCTCTTTACAGGAAGTGTTTATGGAAGGCTGTGCAAGTCACATGCAGGGAGGTGTGGCTAGGGTTCATAAACAATGGGATTTAACTCCTAAATGGCAGAGGATTGTGCAGTGAGGCTGCAGAGGCATGTTCTATACACCAAAACTGCTGCATTAAGTTGTTCAGGTGACTATAGTGTCCCTTTAACTTATTCTGTCCCATCTCCTTTATCTATACACTCACATGAGTATCATCCCGTATAATTTGATGTGTTTCTGTATGGATATGGCTGATCAAAAAAAAAAATGCTTACTATATTTCCTTCGTGTGCATCGTATGTGATTACATTACTGTAAGCTGCAATCCTGTGGTTTTACCTGGACATAATCTTAAAGGAACACTATAGTCACCTAAACAACTTTAGCTTAATGAAGTAGTTTTTGTGTGTAGATCATGCTTCTCCTGTTTTACTGCTCTATTCTCTGCCATTTAGGAGTTAAATCACTGTTTCTGTTTATGCAGCCCTTGTCACACCTCCCCTGGCTCTCATTGACACAGCCTTTCACTTTCAACCAGATGTAATTTACCTTAAACACTTGTATCTTTTTCTGTAAATTGAACTTTAAAGGACCACTATAGGCACCCAGACCACTTCAGCTTAATGAAGTGGTCTGGGTGCCAGGTCCAGCTAGGTTTAACCCTTTTTGCAGTAAACATAGCATTTACTTTAGGGTTAATCCAGCCTCTAGTGGCTGTCTCACTGACAGCCGCTAGAGGCGCTTCTCACTGTGATTGATAATGCTTTCCTATGAGACTGGCTGAATGCGCGCGTGGCTCTTGACGCGCAGTCAGCCAGTGACTGTAGAAGAGGGAGGAGAGTCCTGGCGCTGGAAAAAAGGTAATTTTTTAATCCCTTCCTCCCCCCTCAGCGCCACAGGAGTGGGACATTTGCAGTTGTAACATGAAAAAAGAGGACACACTATTCACACAACACATTTCAGAAAGCTAAAGTGATTTGTGTGTGAAGTGTCCCTTTAAGCGTTACCTTTTAGATCTGTGTTTTGTCAAACCCTGGTCTAGTTCTTGGTTAATGCCACGTTTCCTTTTATTTTTCTTCAATTGTAGATACAGATTTATTGATTCTCGTTATAAGCTGTGTAACTCTTTAACTGTTATAAAAATCTGGCCACTATAACCATGTTTATAGTTTAAGCTTACCTTTTAATCATTTTAAACCTCTCTGCTTTCCCTAGAGGTCATAAGAGAAAGCTGGAAGATGAAGAGGAAGATGATGGCAGTGAATCCAGCAATGAGGACGAGGAAGGTAGCAGTTCTGAAGCTGATGAAATGGCAGCTGCTATTGAAGCTGAACTCAATGACTTCATATGACACTCTGTTCCCACTAGGGAAATGTTTAATCAATCGAGGACATGCGGTCATAAATGGACTTACAATGTATGTGTGATCTTATTCTTTCTGTATTTTATTATATTTTTCATTTTCCGGAGACATATGTATATTTTGCTGGTTCACAGGTTTGTCATTCTACACATCTTTTGATTGTTTTAAATTTATTTTACTAAAGAAAATGCACCATTTTGGTTTTTTTGTTTGTTTTTAGAAAAGGAAACCAAGTATTAATGGGAAATTGTTGTGATATGCCAAAGACATGTAATGCTCTTCTCTGAGCTCCATATAGTAGGAAAGATTTTATTTTATGATTTTTTGGGGGGGTATGGGATAGGGTCTCAAAGTGGCTTGGGGGAATATCACACCATCTCTGGACAAAAACCCCATAGTGCGTGAGAAAATAAATAGCCTGTAATTGTGCGCTTTTCACATACATACAAGATAAAACATTTTTTTAAACGAATACAATATATATTTGTATAGATATAGAGAATGTGATCAGAGGCATTGTAAACTCTCAGACATCTTCCTCTGTGCTCTAGTTTGGATTTGTTAGAAGAGCAGTGTGTAGATTTTTAACCTTGCCTCTCCATAAGCTGTTGTAGCTCAGTGCTTTACACCATGGAGAATGTCTTCATGCATTGTGCTCGGAGAGAAAATGAGTGCTAGATTAAACTGCAATAGGATTTTATTCAATTGAGAGGACTAATGTAAAGTTTTTGTATATTCTATTTCATAAATGAAATCCACAAAAAAGATTTTTCTTTCATTTAATAAAAAATCCATTTTGTAGAATTTTGTTGTTTTTGTCTTTTTTCATTTTGCATAAGGTTACCATTTAGATTGAACATATCAGTTCATTCAGATAGATATACATATATAGATATATACATATACACCCTGTTCCAAATTATATTTTTCACATTTACCTAAATAATTGTTGTAAATAAGTCAGCATAATTCTCGTTATCAACTATTAAGAGTACAATTCAAATTTTATTGAACAAACCTAATAGTAATTTTTTTAAACCTAAAAAACTTACAATGCACTGTTCCAAATTATTACACACAGTAAGTTTCAAAATACTTTATAGGTTGTAAAGAACTGAAAATGGTAATTTGTTGTATTTGCAGCTTATTTACTGAAATCAAAAGCTATTTCAATCAAACTTATAACAATATTTTAACTTTTTAAACATTTTAACAGGTCACGTTACATTTTAATATAGGGCCCCTTATTTGATAGTAGCTTCACAAGTCTTGCATCCATTGAACTTGTGAGTTTTTGGACAGTTTCTGCTTGAATTTGTTTGCAAGATGTCAGAATAGCCTCCCAGAGCTGCTGTTTGGATGTAAACTGCCTCCCACCCTCATAGATCTTTTGAGGATGCTCCAAAGGTTCTCAATAGGATTGAGGTCATGGGAGGATGGAGGCCACACCATGACTTTCTCTCCTTTTATCCCCATAGCAGCCATTGATGCAGACGTATTCTTTGCAGCATGAGATGGTACATTGTCATGCATGAAGATGATTTTATTACGGAAAGCATAGTTCTTCCTTCTGTAGAACTATGCCATCCATGAGTAAAGCTGAAAAACAAAATATTTAATCTTTGTGACACTTAAATAGAAGAAAGTGGTCAGTCATTACGGAAAGCATAGTTCTTCCTTCTGTAGAACAATGCCATCCATGAGTTAAACTGAAAAACAAAATATTTAATCTTTGTGACACAAATAGAAGAAAGTGGTCAGTCAGAAACTCCACATACTTTGCAGAGGTCAGAAGGGGCCGACCAGCTCTCTCCCCATGATTCCGGCCCAAAACATGACTCCACCACCGATTTGCTGACGTCGCAGCCTTGTTGGAACAGGGTGGCCGTCCACCAACCATCCACTACTCATCCATCTGGACCATCCAGGGTTGCACGGCACTCCTCAGTGAACAGGACTGTTTGAAAATTAGTCTTCATGTGTTTTTATGCCCAGTGCAGCCGTTTCTGCTTGTGAGCATTGGTTAGTGGTGGCCGAATAGAAGTTTTATGCACAGTTGTAAGACAATGGAGGCCTCTACACCTTGATGTCCGTGGGACTCCATAGGCACTAGCAGCTTCAAATATCTGTTTACGGCTATGTAATGGTATTTATGCAGCTGCTCTCTTCATCTGATGCATGGATCTGGCAGAAATGTTCCTCAATGTGCCTTTATCTGCACAAACCCGTCTGTGCTCTGAATCAGCCACAAATCGCTTAATAGTGTGATGATCACGCTTAAGTTTTCGTTAAATGTCTAATTTTTTTTTATACCTCGTCCAAGGCATTGAACTATTTCACTCTTTTCGGCAGCGGAGAAATCCTTTTTCTTCCCCATATTGCATGAAAATGGTGCTCTGATTAATAATGTGGAACACCCTCCTTTAGTAGTTTTTCCTTTAAATTGGGCTCACCTGGCAATCTAATTATCATAGGTGTCAGATTGTTTTCAGAGATCAAAAGAGCCCTGAGACACAATGCCATCCATGAGTTAAACTGAAAAACAAAATATTTAATCTTTGTGACACTTAAATAGAATTTGCAGAATAATTTGGAACAGGGTATACATATAGATAGATACATATATAGATCGATACAGATATAGATATATAGATATAGATATATATTGAAACCAGGAACCTGAACATGCATAAATGGGGTGCTGCACACAAGATCCAGCGCACTCACTTATCCACTAAACAGCAACTTCAATGTAGACCTAATCTAGGCAAAAATAATGGGGGTTTAGTTACATTATATGATCATACATTGCATAAGCCTGCCACAACGTGATATATATATATATATATATATATATATATATATTTGTGGTCGGGGTCAAAAAGCCAAAGCATACATTAAGGATTAAGTTATAATGGTAGTAGCAAGTTGGTTGAGGTGTGCTGAAACAGACTAATAGGGTAGGGCCTGAAAAGAGGGCCCACCTATTAGTGTGTGTGTGTGTATATATATATATATATATATATATATATATATATACGTACACACACATATATACATAAATGCAAACATTACAAACACACCCCTGTAGTAAAATGCTAAAATTAAATGCAAACACCAACTCTACACACAAAAGCACACCTGCTGCTAAGTACTACAATCTGTTTGCGATCTGTAGAAATATATCTACCAAAAAAACTAAATTTGCAAAAGAAAAAAGAAAACCTTGCCCTCTGCTAATTAAAAGGTTTGTGTTACGGCGCAAATTTTTTTTCGGTGGGGGCGGGGGGTGTTCTACGATGTTGGTACACTATATTGAAGGGTTCCACGGGAAAAATTAATAGGGAACCCCTGTGGTATAGGGTATTGATGCATGCAGTATGTTGCCAAGCATGTTTGTAAAGCATATCACAGTATGTTGTAGAGCAGTGGTTCCCAAACCAATCCTCATGGCCCACCAACAGTCCAGGATTTATGTATTTCCTTGTTTTATTCCAATGTGGATACTAACAAAACCTGGACTGCTGGTGGGTCTTGAGGACTGGTTTGGGAAGCGCTGTTGTAGAGTATTGCAGTATGCAGTGTATTGTTGGGTGTAGTAATATAGAATATTATAGTAGGTAACGGTACGAAGTGCAGTATAAAGTATACAGAAAGTTGCCGAATATAGTAATATAGCATATCGCAGTATGCAGCAGAGTATAGTATAGCAGAGTATTGCTGTATGATGCAGAGTAGCATAGAATAGAGTATTGCAGTACACCAACCATGTCAAACTCGCGGCCCACAATGAATATTTTTGCGGTGTGGCGAGCCACGAGTTTGCCATGCTTACTAAAGCAGAGTAGGCACCTGTACACCCCACTTGGCAGGTACCTACTCTGCCAAAATTACCCGGCCGGGGCGTGCGCTCTCTGTAGTGATGCTAGCTGCTGGAATATGACGTAGTTCCGGCACCCTGCATTGCTAAACTGCGCGTGTGTGGGAGCAGGAAGACTGAGCTTCTGAGAGATGATCAAGGAGAGGCCCCACACCAGCTTCCAAAGGTAGGGATCAATAAATAAAGTGTGTGTGTGTGTGTAAGAATATGTAAATGTGTGTGTCTCTGTCAGAGGGAGTGTTTTTCTGTCAGTGAGCGGGGACTGGGTTTAGTAGCGGGGGATGCGTTTAGTTTTTTTATACTGTACTTTTTAGAACAAACCTGCGTTTCTATGAAAATTTAAGGTTTTGGTTTTTTTTGCGGCCCACTTAAACCTTGTTTATGTGGCCTGTGCTAGCCTTTGATTTTGACATGCTTGCAGTACACAGTACAACGTTATAGAGTATTTACACAATAATAATACCAATATTTTATTTTGGAATCACGGTGAAGTGCGCATGTCTTCTTTTACTAGGAGGGGGGGGCAAAAGGGTGATAAAACATCAATCCAATTGTCCCCAAAAGAAGGACAGAAGGTGCCTGTAGCAAGTGTGTTAAAAAATGATAAGCTTAGAGTCATGTCTACAAATGCTCGCAGTTTAGGGAATAAGATCCATGAACTTGTGGCAATAATGGCAACTGATAGTGTAGATTTAGTCGCTGTTACTGAGACATGGTACAATGAGAAAAATGACTGGGACATAGCAATACCAGGGTACTCTTTATATAGGAAAGATAGGGAAGGCAAGAAAGGGGGAGGGGTGGCCTTGTATGTGAAGGATAGCATAAAATCTAGCCTAATAAAAGTTAGTGAGGCAAACATAGAGTCCGTTTGGGCTACGTTAGAATTTGGTAATCACACAGTAACTCGTGTAGGTGTGATTTATAGGCCCCCAGGACAAATTGAAGAGTTAGATAATCTACTAGTTGAGGAAATAGCTAAAATGACAATGAAGGGGGAAGTTATCATCATGGGTGACTTTAATCTTCCTGATGTAAATTGGAAAACAAAATTAGCTACTTGTGCCAGGAGCACACATATTCTAAACTCCCTACTGGGATTGTCTCTAAAACAAGTTGTTGAGGAGCCAACTCGTAAAGAGGCCATACTAGATTTAGTGTTAACAAATGGAGATTTGGTATCAGATTTACTGTAGGTGAAAGTTTAGGATCCAGTGATCATCAGTCAGTGTGGTTTAATATAAGAACAGTGACTGAGTCACACCACACAAAAACTAAAGTTTTAGACTTTAGAAAAACAGACTTTTCTAAAATTAGAATATGGGTAGAGGAGTCATTATCAGACTGGAGCAATTTAAATGGAGTCCAAGAAAAATGGGATTATTTAAAAGTTGCACTATTGAAGGCAACAGAAAATTGCATTAGGCTTGTCAGTAAAAGCAAAAAATTCAAGAAACCACTGTGGTACTCCGCAGATGTGGCCAAAATAGTTAAAAACAAAAAGTTAGCATTTAGGAATTATAAAAAAAACCCAGAGTGAGGAAGACAAAATGATCTATAAGATTAGGCAGAAAGAGGCTAAGCAAGTTATAAGAGCTTCCAAATCACACACAGAAGAGAAAATAGCACAGTCAGTAAAAAAGGGGGATAAAACATTTTTTAGATACATAAATGAGAAAAGAAAAGTAAAACAAGGATTAGTTAGATTAAAAACAAAAGAAGGAAGGTATGTAGAAGAGGATAAAGGTCTAGCTGACTGCCTCAATGAATATTTTTGTTCTGTATTTACAGATGAAAATGAAGGAAAAGGACCTCAGTTGAGAAAAAGGATAAATGAGTCATTTATTACACGTGAGTTTACAGAGGAAGAGGTTCTATTTCAACTGTCAAAAGTAAAGACAAATAAGTCAATGGGACCTGATGGAATACACCCAAAGCTATTAAAAGAGCTTAGTGGTGTACTAGCAAAACCATTAACAGATTTATTTAACCAATCATTAACAGGAGTAGTCCCAGAAGATTGGAAGTTAGCGAATGTTGTGCCCATTTACAAGAAAGGTAATAGGGAGGAGTCGGGCAACTATAGGCCAGTAAGCCTTACTTCAGTAGTGGGGAAAGTGATGGAAACCATGTTAAAGGATAGGATTGATGAACATCTAAAAACACATGGATTTCAAGATCAGAGACAACATGGGTTTACTTCAGGGAGATCATGCCAAACTAATCTTATTGATTTTTTTGATTGGGTAACTAAAATTATAGATCAGGGTGGTGCAGTAGACATTGCTTACCTAGATTTCAGTAAGGCTTTTGACACTGTTGCACATAGAAGGCTTATCAATAAACTGCAATCTTTAAGTTTGGATTCCAATATTGTTGAATGGGTAAGGCAGTGGCTGAGTGACAGGCAACAGAGGGTTGTAGTTAATGGAATATATTCGAAGCTTGGACTTGTCACCAGTGGGGTACCTCAGGGATCTGTACTTGGACCTATTCTCTTTAATATTTTTATTAGTGATATTGCAGAAGGTCTTGATGGTAAGGTATGTCTTTTTGCTGATGATACTAAGATATGTAACAGGGTTGATGTTCCAGGAGGGATAAGCCAAATGGCAAATGATTTAGGTAAACTAGAAAAATGGTCAGAATTGTGGCAACTGACATTTAATGTGGATAAGTGCAAGATAATGCATCTTGGACGTAAAAACCCAAGGGCAGAGTACAGAATATTTGATAGAGTCCTAACCTCAACATATGAGGAAAGGGATTTAGGGGTGATTATTTCTGATGACTTAAAGGTAGGCAGACAATGTAATAGAGCAGCAGGAAATGCTAGCAGAATGCTTGGTTGTATAGGGAGAGGTATTAGCAGTAGAAAGAGGGAAGTGCTCATGCCATTGTACAGAACACTGGTGAGACCTCACTTGGAGTATTGTACACAGTACTGGAGACCGTATCTTCAGAAGGATATTGATACCTTAGAGAGGGTTCAGAGAAGGGCTACTAAACTGGTTCATGGATTGCGGGATAAAACTTACCAGGAAAGGTTAAAGGATCTTAACATGTATAGCTTGGAGGAAAGACGAGACAGGGGGGATATGATAGAAACATTTAAATATATAAAGGGAATCAACACAGTAAAGGAGGAGACTATATTTAAAAGAAGAAAAACTACCACAACAAGAGGACATAGTCTTAAATTAGAGGGACAAAGGTTTAAAAATAATATCAGGAAGTATTACTTTACTGAGAGGGTAGTGGATGCATGGAATAGCCTTCCAGCTGAAGTGGTAAAGGTTAACACAGTAAAGGAGTTTAAGCATGCGTGGGATAGGCATAAGGCTATCCTAACTATAAGATAAGACTAGGGACTAATGAAAGTATTTAGAAAATTGGGCAGACTAGATGGGCCGAATGGTTCTTATCTGCCGTCACATTCTATGTTTCTATGTTTACCAGCGTTTGATCAAATGTTGACCATTTTTTCTCACAGAAGTGAGATATGAAATTAGCGACTGCCCTTTCCTTGCAGTAAATGATCAGTTCACATAATGAGAGATGCAGAATAAATAACCGTTCAGGCACTCCGGGTTAACAAATAATAGCAGCTTTATTTGGGACAAAAAGCAGTTTTTGCCCAATAAAGCTCCTTTTTTTTTGTTCTCCTGGATTGCCTGAACTGTTATTTATTCTGCATATCTTTGAAGGGAGGCCTGGCCAGCCCTGGTTTCAGAGCACCTGGGTTACTTGGTGAGTGCGTTATCAAGTTCGTCTCCACACAACAAGAGAGACATAACGAAGGATAGCTAGGTGGAATTCTAATAAATAGACGTAGAAATAAGATATTTTAATGTGAACACCATTATTCAATGCCCTGAAAAGAGTATGGATTTGTGATATATCTGTAACAGCAAAATTCTTCAAGCCTGTATCTACAGCAGTTTAATTTCATCTTGGTATATCTTCAAATCGGTATAGCAATCTACGTAGGGCAGCGTATTTGAATTCCTTAAATTTTGTCAAAGAAAACCTATATTGAAATGATTCTGCTGATATTATACTGTCCAATTTAGAGTAGAACACATTTCCCCATGTGAGATATTGTAAGTATTTGTGTGCAGAAATAGTGTTGAATCAAATGTAAGTAGGACACTGCTTTCGTGTGAAAACAAGCGAACGCAGTGTACAAGAATTAAAGAATTCGTGCAAACGCTTCATACGGACCAGCGGAGCCTCCGCGCGAACGCAGTGTACAAAAATGAAAATATTTGTGCAAACGCTTCATACGGACGAACGGAGCCTCCGCGCGGACGCCCAACAGACAAATGGAGCACCCGCGTGAACACTAGTAAAATGTGCCACACAGAGCAACAAAGCATTCGCGTGCATGCAAGCGATTGTGCCCCAACAAACGAAAAGTGCCTACTCCCGAACGAGGATGCAGCCGCAAACCCCGCCAGACTGTAATAGAGGTGCGAGGCAAAACTAGCAATCCCCCGGTGGGCTGTAACGGGAAGCGAGCAGCCACCAGCCGGAACATCAAATCAGGACAAGCCCTGCACCTCGCCCAGGGAAGAGACACCGCTGCGATGCATGTCCTCTGCGAAGGGGGCTCTCCCGGCTGCACCTCTGAGCTAGAGGGTCAGGAGCTGGAAAGTCAGTGTGATTCACCCCACGGATGGCAGCCGCCATCTTAGTACAGGTCCAAAACGTAGGACAAATGGCAACTTTTTTTTTTTTACAGCATGAATTAAAACGACCAAAAGAGTCATTAACATACAAAATAGCTTTTATTTTTACGTCTAACCGAACAGTCAAACATATTTTAGACAAACGAGCATGTTAAACACACAAATTTAATTTATACTGGATGAAATGAGCATATAAGGATCGCGTACGAAAATATTGGCATGAACAAGCAGTAGACCATTGTTTCCTAAACACACAAATTAGGTTTAACAATATGAAGGTACAAAGCTTTCCACAAAGGCAGTTCGAAACAAAAACAAACTATAAAAGTAAGTCACCAAACGTATTTTTATTTAAAGGATGAAAAGATTATTTCAGAATGATGTATGCAAACGTAAGTATGCGAACAACAAAGGTACGATTATAAACTAATCACGTTGTGTTCGTATATCTAAAATACTTACAGTTGATCTTCGTTGAGACATTGATTTTAGTTTTAAATACTCACGAAAGCAAACAAAATCTAAGAATGCTGAATTCGTGCAGAAGCGTGCAAACAGCGAATTATATTTTAAACGAATTGAAACAAATGTATTTTGTTTAAATTAATTTGCACAAAAGATTTTGTTTAAATGAATTGACAAAACTTAAAGGCATTTACATTAAATTAATTTGTTTCAGCTAATTGACATGTAAGTAAAATGCATTTATACACGAAATATTTTTATGCACGAATTGAAACGAATATATAATATATTAATACATAAGACATACGCACAAATACAGGGAGCATACCCCCGCGAAAAGGCCTGAACGGCGGGAATAGTGCGACTGCGGCCATTCCCACCTGTTACCTGAACGTGTTTGTGAGATTTGTTGCGATCTCTATATTAGGTGGATTTTGTGGTTAAAAATAAATAAATAAAAACACTACAATTTTTCAACCCATGGAGGTCTGGATTTGGAGTCACACTCAAAATTAACGTGGAAAAACACACTACAGGTTGATCCAACTTTGATGTAATCTCCTTAAAACAAGTCAAAATGAGGCTTAGTAGTGTGTGTGGCCTCCACGTGCCTGTATGACCTCTCTACAATGCCTGTGCATGCTCCTAATGAGGTGGCGGATGGTCTCCTGAGGGATCTCCTCCCAGACCTGGACTAAAGCATCTGCCAACTCCTGGACAGTCTGTGGTGCAACGTGACGTTGGTGGATGGAGCGAGACATGATGTGCTCAATTGGATTCAGGTCTGGGGAACGGGCGGGCCAGTCCATAGCATCAATGCCTTTGTCTTGCAGGAACTGCTGACACACTTCAGCCACATGAGGTCTAGCATTGTCTTGCATTAGGAGGAACCCAGGGCCAACCGCACCACCATATGGTCTCACAAGGGGTCTGAGGATCTCATCTCGGTACCTAATGGCAGTCATGCTACCTCTGGCGAGCACATGGAGGGCTGTGCGGCCCCCCAAAGAAATGCCACCCCACACCATTACTGACCCACTGCCAAACCGGTCATGCTGGAGGATGTTGCAGGCAGCAGAACGTTCTCCACGGCGTCTCCAGACTCTGTCACGTCTATCACATGTGCTCAGTGTGAACCTGCTTTCATCTGTGAAGAGCACAAGGTGCTAGTGGCGAATTTGCCAATCTTGGTGTTCTTTGGCAAATGCCAAACTTCTTGCACGGTGTTGGGCTGTAAGCACAACCCCCACCTGTGGACGTCGGGTCCTCATACCATCCTCATGGAGTCTGTTTCTGACCGTTTGAGCAGACACATGCACATTTGTGGCCTGCTGAAGGTCATTTTGCAGGGCTCTGGCAGTTCTCCTCCTGTTCCTCCTTGCACAAAGGGGGAGGTAGCGGTCCTGCTGCTGGGTTGTTGCCCTCCTACGGCCTACTCCACGTCTCCTGATGTACTGGCCTGTCTCTTGGTAGCGCCTCAATGCTCTGGACACTACGCTGACAGACACAGCAAACCTTCTTGCCACAGCTCCCAGGTACCATTATTTTTTGGCTGGAGTGAAAGGGCTTTTCACTTTTATGTCAATTTTGAGTGTGTAGCTAACACATTCTACGCACCCGCTGCAGATATTGCAAAGTATTGCTAATATTTCCCTATTTTTTGAAGGGAACCAAGCTGTCATTGTAGACTTTTGTTTGGGTGCTTGCACTGTTTATACGATTCTGGTGCAAACACTTTGATTTTATATTTTTTCATTTTCTTAAAGCAACAGTACTTTTTAGAGTATACCAATAAAGCACTATGTTTTAAATCCTTTTTTTTTCTCTCTGAATACTGTGGACCAAGATTGTGGCTATAGACTAACGTTTAGAGGGTTGACTTGACTACCAATAGGGAGATGGAAGATTTCTTATCACAGACAGGCGCTTGTGCATCACAGGCAAGTACGCTCCAATTTAGTGATGCTCAGGCAGAGGAAATATCATGGAATACCACCAGTTTACAATTACCAACCACAGCAACATCACGCAATGTCTATTTTAACTTGTTAAAATTAAATAAAAAAGTAGACGACCTTGATCTACATGGCACCTTTCTGTCAGACTATCACAGAGCAAAACAAATTCCCTGTGGTTTTAGAGTAAGAAATATTCCCACAATTGGTAGAATGAAGGCAAGGGTATGCAGGAACTGGACGTCCGTTTTAAACAAATGTTCCTTGGATCTCATGTTGGTGACGATCCAGGATGTCAAGGAAGACTTGGTGGAGATTAGGAAAAAGATCCAAAATGTAGAAATGAAGTTTGCCCTTCAATTGAATTCTCAAGAAGGTACTGAAATGTTACTCAAATTAAGTGAGGAAATCTTGAAGTACAAAAATCAGCTCATAACATTTAAACGCCAAAAAATGGAAATGGTTCAACTTGACTACCAGGAGGGTACAGTGTATCGATGACTATCAGGTGAGCATAAAGGGAGACCCAGGCGATTTTGGAAGAGAATAATAAAATCAAACATCACTACTGTTGATTAGAGATGTCACATCAACAGTAGAGATGTCGCGAACCGTCCGCGAACGGCTCGCCGCGGTTCGCGGCGAACTCCGGTCAGCTGACACATCCCGGCCAATCTCCAGCAGACCCTCCCTCCCAGACCCTCCTACTTCCTGGACAGCATCCATGTTGAAGCTGCCTTGCACATAAGCCTGCCACAATGCCAATGTACCCCATCTTTGGCAGGTCCTACTCTCACAGTCTAATGTCTACTCTTATGTGAATAACTCACTGACTTGGGGAAAAAATTCCATCTGAGGCTCTCTGCAGTACAAGGCTAAATAGGGACCTGAGATGAGGCACCTGTAACACTTTAAAAAAAAAA